TGAAACCCCTGTGGTATGAAGCACAGAGTTCATAATACAAACTTCCTCAACCCTGTGGCATGAAGCATAGAGTTGATAATACAAAATTCCTCAAACCCTTATAGTAAAAAGCATAGAGTTGATAACACAAAAGTTCTCAACCCTGTGTTATAAAGTACAGAGTTGATAATGCGAAATAACTGAAACCCCTGTGGTATGAAGCATAGAGTTGATAACGCAAAATAAATCAAACCCTTATGGTATAAAGCACAGAGCTCATAAACCAAAATTCCTCAAACCCTTATAGTAAAAAGCATAGAGTTGATAACACAAAAGTCCTCAACCCCCTGTGGTATAAAGCACAGAGTTGATAATGCGAAATAACTGAAACCCCTGTGGTATGAAGCATAGAGTTGATAACACAAAAGTCCTCAACCCCCTGTGGTATAAACCAAAGAGTTGATAAAACGAAATTCCCCACAACCCTGTGGTATGGAACAAAGAGTTGATAATATAAAATTCCTCAACTCATGTGGTATGAAGCATATAGTTGATAATACAAAAGTACTTAAACCGTTGTGGTATAAAGCACAGAGTTGATAATACAAACTTCCTCAAAACCCTAAAAAGCACAGATTTGATAACAAAATAGCTCAACCCCCATAGAGTTGATAACGCAAATAGCTCAACCCTGTGGTATGAAGAATAGAGTTGATAATACAAAATTAAAAAAAAAGCAAAGAGTTGATAACGCAAAATAGCTCAACCCCTGTGGTATAAAGCATAGAGTTGATAACGCAAAATTCAACCCCCTCTTATAGTATAAAGCATAGAGTTGATAACGCGCTCAACCCCGTATAAAGCAAAAATTCCTCAAGAGCAAAAGTCAACCCCCTGTAGTATAAAGCATAAAGTCAACCTCAAGAGTTGCAAGACTCAAGAAGAGAACGACTCGGAGAAAAAAATGTGATGTTGACTTGGACAATTTGCAGAAGGTGAGAGCGTGGAAGCTACTGGTACAACTAACGGCTATGAATGGTACATGTTGTGACTGTGGTACATATATGAGTGCCAAGCTGTATCGGTACATATTTATAACCCCGACATTTATATAGATGTAACAGTGGTCCACATCAGTGTTGTATTGTATCAAAATATAATCATGGTACAGACATTTTTTTTCTTTTTTTGTTTTATATAGATGTGGAAATTTGTATCTAAATTTATTACTTCACGAATTATTGTGGTATAGCGATATACAGTAAGTCATCCCATCTCTGTGGTAATATATATTTTTATTGTATTTTCTCTTAGAATGGGAAATTATGATAATTATAATCAAAATGCCATGCTACAGATTCTAAATTTTTCATACGTCAAGCAATCACAGCAAAAGTAGAATTTCCAAAAAGCAAAGCACATAAAAAATAATAAATAGATAAATAAAAATAAATAAACAAAAAATGATAAATATAAAATAGGATAAGTAAAAAATATAAAATATAATAAAACAATAAAAAAGATAAGAAAAAAAAATAAATAAACATAAACAAAAAACAAATAAAATAAAAAATAAAAAAAAATAATAACGACAATAAAAGGTACCGTTCTTGCAGCAACAGGTATACAAAGTTACTTTCTCGTTACCGATCAATAACGTATTCAGGTTAAAAAGGTCTATAGAATTCAGGTGACATTTTGACGTAGAAGCAGAGGGCGTGGTTAGTGGACGCCTGAGCAGAAGGGCGTTGTAAAAAGGTCAACAATCATTACACACATTCATTGGCAGCCAAACAGGCAATTTGTGTAACGAGAGAGAGAGAGAGAGGGAGAGGAGGGGAGGGGGAGAGAGGGGGAGGGAGAGAGGGAGAGGGAAGGGAGGGGGGAGAAGGGAGGAGGGAGGGAGAGAGGGAGGGAAGGAGGGAGAGAGAGAGAGAGAGAGAGAGAGAGAGAGAGAGAGAGAGAGAGAGAGAGAGAGAGAGAGAGAGAGAGAGAGAGAGAGAGGGGGGGGGGAGAAATGAATAAGGATACATACACGTACAAATGTATCATATATACTGTGTGCGTATGTGTATTCATATGTACGTGTACAAATAAACAACACACACACACACACACACACACACACACACACACACACACACACACACACATATATATATATATATATATATATATATATATATATATATATGAGGTAAGTACAATAATGTGGCAAATTAATCCGTGTTATTCTTTTCTGTGATGCTGCGTACAAAAATACACAGACCCAAAAACCCTCAAAACAGTAGTCAACACCTTGTACTAGTGCACCTTAACCTTTTAAGGTCCACAGACATCCATTTTTTATCGTTAGGTTTTCCGCGGATTCAAATTTTGCCCGCGGATGTTTCCCGCCAAAAAAAATCGTTCCTTGTTTAAGTTCAATGGCTGGTTTCGTGTCACTTTAGGGAAGGATTCACACGCTCCTTGTTTAGTGGACATCATTGATAAATATATTATCTCATTCTCATTTCTCTCT